TAACCCAAGCAAACCTAGCTCAGAGTGGCAGCTGCCTGAAAAGCCTTTGAACTCTAAGCTGAATCAGTAAGGGCAGAGACCTAGTGATAAAAAACCTCACAGGATTAAGGGTCATAGGTGTCACCGACCCAGCAGGCAGCACTGTGGAAGCAGAAAGAATAATCATTATCAGGTAACAAAAATGATGAACAATCTTCAAGCTCACTATTGGCAAGTGCAGGCTCAATGGGCCGATCCATAATTGACTATGCCAGAGACCAACGAGGGAATTACCAGAGCCTTAAGGTAGCTAACCAAGCAAAAATCCAAGGCAGTGGGGCTGCTCACTTGAACAGTCACCAAATGCAGCCAAAACAACCAGACTGAATAGCGACCACAGTGCACCATATAAAGAAACATGCAAGTCCCAGTGCATCCCAACACAACCAAAAGAATGTCCCCCCCCCCCAGCCAAGGGCTCAAACAGAAGAGTCAAAGGCCCATGGTGAGATTCTCCACCCTGGTGATCTCTCAGGCGAACACCTGAACACGCCAAATATAACTCTGTGCAAGAGCAGTGCTATTGGGCACCCAGATAAGGAAATCCTGAGTTCGTGCAGCTCGAAACACAACAAAAGTCAAATCCACACAAGCTGGAGACAAAACACATATGTAACTCGAATACTAAAGTAAAAGTCAATATGCAAATGGCCCATGCAGGACGAACAAAGTCCAAGAATAGCCGGCACTTAGCTTGAAGCACCGGGGCTAGTCCAAGACTGCCAGACCAGAGCACTACTGGTAGAAACAACCACTACAACATCAGCAACAGAACTGACCAAAAGAGCCAGCTGTGGACAGAGGCCAGGCCACCTGGTGGTCCGATTGGTACTAACGAGTTATGAGCTACTGTATTTTGAATTCCCTTTTCTGCGTGAATCATTTGCAGAGTTCTTTGGCAGTTTTGAGGCTTTGTTTCCTGTGAACCCTCCACTTGTTTGTAAAGATTCGCTATCTTTCAGGATGCTTTCACAGTTGAGTGGAAAATTGTCACTGGCTCCTTGCACCTCTGAAGGAAAGGGGGAATAGCCAGGTTCTCGTTCTGGTCCTCAATAGTCCAAACGGAATTTTCATGACAGATGTTACCATTTAGCGTGGAACAATCGCAGCAATATAGGGGTCAGAAAGCCACCAAGGAGCTCCTCCAGAAACAGTATTTTAGTGCATTACTAAACTGTTGACCCAATGTATCTGTTAAGTTATTTTAATTCTTAATCTAGGAAAAGTATGACAAAACTGCAACTATATTTTGAGTGTTTGGGAATGTCAAAATGTGAAATGAAATTTATTATTTTGTACTTTTATTTCCCATTTGAAATGCTAGATACAGGTTTCAATGGTAGGAATGTGCAAAAAATATCTTTTCAAAACATTCAACCACACACTGATCCACACACACATATACCCAGAAGAGATACTTGTAGTTTAGTAGTACAGCAAACAAATCAGCACCTTATGATATGTTTGGACTTCTGTTTTATCTAATAAGCAACTGATGCTGCATAAAACTGCGAGACGTAATTTGCAAAAATGCACGGATAAAAAATGGGTTAATTGGATTGAATCAGCATTTAGTAAACAAAATTATAAAATACAAAAAAACTAATATCAATAAATGTAATCTGCACAATGGGCGACAGAAACATTGACGTAAAGCAATAATCAACAGTTCTTGACCCTGATCAATACACAAGTGTTTAAATCTTAAGCAGAGATTATGATCAACATGTATTGGCTTAAAAAAGCAATTGGCAATCACTGATCTTGTCACTACTGAGAAAATAATTGGAACTTTAGAAGACAACTGGACCTACTTGTTTAACTGTCTCTCAATTATTACAAATGATACTTCCACCACCAGCATGAATATTTTATCTCAATACTGCATGTTTAGGTAGCAAAGCATTACATTTGCTTCCATTACAGCTTCCTAGCAACTAGATGCCACACTCAGAAAACTCTCCCTAATATATCTCCTGGCAGCATCCGCACGATGCTGTGTTTGCAGCAGACATGACTCGATAGTTAATTTGTGAGAAAAGGTACATTACCACCCCTGTACAGTGTGTCTTCTCACAGTTACTGTCACATTAATATTTTCAGATGCACTTGATTACATATATTCCTGTTAATTTCTTGTTTAACAGTGATGTGATGCACTGAACATTTAACTATATTTTGGACACAATAGTTTGGCAGTTCAGAAGTGTTCCTTAACCAGTTTACATGTCACCCAACCTTAAAAAATATATACCTTATATTCTTACTTATATTCTTCATAGTACCAGAAGGTAATAAAATGGACAAATCACCACTATTTGAGTGCTATCGCTAAAACATCAGAAGTCTAAAGAAAATGATCACTAACCAAATACCACACTCTATCCGGTGCTCTTGAGATCTTTATTACAACAGTTGCGTCTAAAAGTTCGTGGAAGTTGCAGGTGAATGCGCTGTACGTATATGCAGCTGGAAATGTTATAATTTTGTTGGTAGAGACCAACACCTGCTGTAGCGCTTCCATATTATTTCTAGATCCCGCAGTGGCCAAAACATTAATTCACTGTTACTCAAAGTTATTTGTTCAGATTTTCCCAGGGGTTCATGAATGATCTTTGAGAGGTAATCAGTTCAATATACAAAATGGACATATGACCCCTGGTAAACAACTGCACCAACAAAGTGAATGATCATTTCCTCAAGACTACATGTTTGTGCCTCTTTGATTATGTCACACTAGATACACTGCATTTGGGGAATTTTCTTGGCTGTGGCAGAACCTCTTGAAACCTTCACAATTTATTTTTATATCAATATATTTTTGAAGGATTAAATAGGCTTACACAGTGTGTACAGTACACTGGTATTCATAGAAATACCCTTTTTTAAATACTGCCAGAGCTAAGGCAATTTCAACCACACAGTTTGATACACTGAGTGTGTGATATACTAAATAGTGTGCTCTCTGTGTATGAAGCTTGTATAAAATGTGCACCTAGTCTGTAATCGCTGATAATTGCTGTAAAATCTTGCTAATCCTGGCATGGAAATTACGCTAAATTTATTTTCAACAAATTTTATAATAATTTATACAAATTTACACATCCTTATAATAGAAAATCGAGGTTGACAATACAATACAAAATTTACATATAGCATATATTACTTTTATATAAATAAAAGGACAATTTCATAAAAAATATCACCTGATGAGTAATTATTAACTTGCTTCCATACAGGATTTACAAATTCTAAAGTATACTGTACCTGAAAAAAAATGGCATTTTATCATTTATATAACAAAACTCTATAATGTTCTGAAGAATATTACAGTACTGTACGTAAATTATCTAAATTATTTAGCTATGTTGTCTTTGGTATGCGGCTACATGTATGCAGGGGCACATGATTATGCCGATATGTGCAGCTTTTTTAAATATTTACTTGCTCATTATGATGAACTCTGGTGTTTCTGAGAGAGGTTTTGGTTTGATGCTGTTGGGTTTAAGGCCTATCAACTGCAGGAAGCCTATTAAACCCCACCACAACAGCTTACTAACAAACCAGCAAGTATACTTTAGTCCTAATATAGTTCAAGACTAAAGTACACTGTGTATGTACAACAAGAAGTGGGGTACACCTCTGTGTACATACACTGAAAAATGTACACCTCTCTGTTTATATTCCCTGATGCACGAGAGAAAAGTGTAAGCGGGTATTTGTGTGTGTGTTAGCCAACAGTCGGCTTCTCCCTACATATGACAGTGTTGGCTCTACCGTTACTGACTGGTGATATAGCAACTGGGCTTCTTCAGTAGATGGTGAGAGCTAAATATACAGTGGAATGCAACAATACAGTACTCAGTATTCACAAGGAGAGTTCAGCTTAAATAATAAACTGAACACTGTCTCAAGATAATGCGGGGACAAATGCAATAAATTCAGAATGGCCAGCTTGAAGAGGAATGAAGGTAATAATATATACAAATATAATACAGAAATCAACATCAAATGAACCAAACATTATTTTGCATATGAAAGCAACACAAGATGCACAAATTTTAAAAAATCATAGTTGTACAATCTCAAATGGTAGATTTACCATTGCATAAAGGGTAGAGGTATTACTAAGCTAGCATAATCCACTGTCAATTTGTAAACCAAACATTGAGCATCAAATTTACAAAAATATTTCTAGACAAATATGAATCTTGAAGGTACTGTATATGAAGAAACTGTTTTAACCGGTCCATCTAATTACCTAAAGTCACTCAAAGCTTCCTGGCATTACATTAGTAATGAATAAATATGATATATTTACTCATTATAATGTTGGTGCTGAATATAGAACATGGAAAAACATATTTTTACTCTGAAAAAGTATCATTTCATAACAAAATTAAACGAAAATAAGCTGCTGGTGACACCAAAGCAAGTCGACGGTCCAGGCGACAATGTTGTGGAGCGACTTATCCAAGATATGTTGTTACGTACAGGTTATATTAACTTAGGTTTGGATAGGTTAGGTTTAGTTAGGTTAGGTTATGTTTTGTTAGGTTGTGTTTTGTTAGGTTATGTTTGGGTAGGTTGGTTAAGTTAGGTAGGTACAGGAGGCTGATATGCCAGCAAATACTCTTTAGGCAACAATGTGTCTTGGATAAGTCGCTCCACAACATTGTCACTTGGACCGTCGACATGCTTTGGCATCACTAGCAGCTTATTTTCCTCTAATTTCGTTATGAAATGATACTTTTTCAGAGTAAAAATATGTTTTTCCATGTTTGATATTCTACATTCAGCATTCATTACATTATAAGCTTTGAGTAAATAGACGGATATCATATAATTGATTTTTCATTACTAACGTAATGCTCCACTTTGTAGATAAGCTTTGTTAACTTATAATGGTAAGGCTGAATGAGAAAACTTGTCTACTTAGAGAGGGTAAGTCTTAGACATTAGGTACACAAACCTTGAACCAGTTTTTAAAAAAATAATAAAATACAAATTAGAGAACTTTGAATACTGGCACAATATTGAGGAAACCCAAGAAATGGGGCAGCTCACCAGGAGTGAAAAAAAAGAATAATTTCTCAGTTTTTTAACCTTTGTAGCTAATTTGTCACATTCTATGTTACAAATTTTTATTTTATGGAATAATGTGTGCGCAATGTGTAGATATTATATTGCACAAGATGGCATACAGTACACAAAGCATCAGTATATCAAATAATGAATAAATTGCCATCTTATTTTCTTTTAAAAATAAATTAACAAATCACTCAACCTATCTCCTGTTATAAATGTAAGCACATAATGTGGTCTTTTATATGCAACCGTCTCATCTGCTGACAATAGTTGTAATGACGAGCAATGATGTGTGGCATTGGAAATAACTCAAACTTGTTCATTAATTTCATTAATTGAAACAACAAATACATAGTTAATAATGCATTGCATTCTGAGGCTAAACAAATTTTATTTCCTCTCAAATAGAGTTCTAGCAAGTTTCTGTGAACATGTTAATGAATGTGTTAATAAATTTTTATGAAGGTATTTAAAAATGCATGATACACCCCCATGTAAAACAAGTCGTGTTAAGTGTTAACTTCATTATAATGTTGTACAACCTCAGAGCGCAAAGATTTGGTGAGGATACGTTAGCATGACCTCGACAAAAAGGTTGATGGGAGCAATAGCATTGAGGGACATCTGCCCTCCCCGAGGTCGGACGAGGTTTGGCCCAAATACCACAGCCAGGTTGCTGGCTGTCATCTTATTCAGGTCACTACGATCCATCACCTGAAAAATAAAAACAGGTTTAAGCAATCCACATTAGTTTAGCCCTTCCACTGCGCGTCACGGCTGGGGTTGATCTCGCTAATTATCTGTAACCTGCACAACATGGCTGAGGAAGTTTTAACGTATGGTGTAACAGTTCCACAGTTACACAGGGCTCACATTTACTTCCTCAGGCCTCCAGTAAATGGGCACCATCTTGGAAAATATTGTGTGCACCCGTCCTGGGTGGTAAAAGCCTCAGTACTGAGAGGGCAATTATGAATAGTGCATGCAGCAGCTGCTCACAGCACTGCCATGCATCACTGAACCACCACTTAACAATGATCAAATAAATAAATGCAATTATATAAAAATGATAGTGTTATAGAAGACATGAAAAATGGATTTTCACAGCTGTCTTAGTTATATAGTGCACGCCAGTATATAAACCAGTGTGGAATCTCCAGAGTGCACATTGTCAGTGCTTAGTCACAGATTCTGTAATCAGGAGCTTGGGTCTACATCCTGGGTATCTCCTGATATCCCTCCTTTTCAGCAGACCAATGGCTCCATCTACCATCTTGGGTAGAGTGAGCGGGAACTTTTCAAGTTTGTAATTAGGAGGAGGAGAAACGAGAGGTCAACTATCTTGAATTCCAAACTGCTATAGGCCACAAACCATGATGTTTCCATGATGACATAGGCCTAGCTGGCATGTGTATGACTTCTTCATTGGGCTAGGCACCACTGACTGTCTCCCATTGGTCCAAACATAAACAGGACCATTGAACTCCCTGGAATCCTGGTGTAGCTTAATTTGAGGCTGTCAAATCGTTCTGCTCCTGGAGTTTGTCTCCTGGATATGGGTGTATTACACTAAAATTGCCAATTTGTACTCACCTAGTTGTGCTTGTGGGGGTTGAGCTCTGGCTCTTTGGTCCCGCCTCTCAACCGTCAATCAACAGGTGTACAGGTTCCTGAGCCTACTGGGTTCTATCATATCTTCACTTGAAACTGTGTATGGAGTCAGCCTCCACCACATCACTTCCTAATGCATTCCATTTGTCAACCACTCTGACACTAAAAAAGTTCTTTCTAATATCTCTGTGGCTCATTTGGACACTCAGTTTTCACCTGTGTCCCCTAGTGCGTGTGCCCCTTGTGTTAAATAACCTGTCTTTATCTACCCTGTCGATTCCCTTGAGAATCTTATTGTGTCGATCACCTTGTGACAGTCTCCATGAATGTTAAACTCACTGCAGTTAATTCTAAGGATTCTGATGATCATTCCCAGAATCACAGTTCTGTGAATTTTGTTCTGTAAACTGAATTTTCCTGTAATGTGAGTGACTAACAAGAGTAGAGCGAGAACTGAAACCACGTGACCTCGGTGAGAAGTAACAGTCTCTCAAGGGATCAATTGTATATACTGTACTGTGTTCACAGCTATAATGGTTACAGTGAAACTCCCTGAATTGAAGCTAAAAACACGTTTACAAGATACTAAATATTTCAACAGAATCATTTAAATGCAAACATATTATGCATAAAGGAGGAGCCTGTTGAACCATCTATTGCTAACAAATTTGATTAGTTTCATTCCTCAGAAATGATTGTAAAAAATCTGAACAAACATGAAATTTGGAATCGGTATTAAATTCTAATCCGAGGCCTCACCTTAGAGAGGAAGTTCACGAGGAATTTGAGCACGAGGTAGTTATCTTCTGGCAGCTTTTCCAATATTATTTGCTTGATAGTTGTGAGGCGATCGCTCTTATTAAGTCCTGAAATCATAAATTAGTTTTGAATGAAACAATAATGAGAAGATGCACAATAAAATCATAAAAACCTGATGAATCTGAGAAAATATTGAGACTTGTGATGGGACTGAACCCCTGCATCCCTCGAATCCCTAGACACACACACTTTTAAGCTCGTCACTGTTCAGTGGGTAATGTGTGCGCCCAAGGAGTCCAGACATGTGAGCTGAATCCCATCAAGTGGCCACAATATTTTCCAATGAGAAGGAGAGTTTTGAGGAGAGTTACACACTGATGTGGCACTTTCTTTGGACAATTGTGTACTTGAGAAAACCTAAAATCAGAGTGCAGCCTGATTGATCAGGTGTCCTTTATAGGTGTTTATCAAGTACTCTCTCTTGAACACTGTGAGGGGTCGGCCAGTTATGCCCGTTATGTGTAGTGGAACAGTGTTGAACAGTCTCAGGTCTCTCTGATATGATAGCTCTCTCTGAGTACCTATTGCACCTCTGCTTTTCAAATAGGGGGCAGCCTGCCATGCCTTCTAGTCTCATGTGATCCGTGTGCAGATTTGGAACCAGCCCCTCTAATATATTCCATGTGTTTTGCAAAAGTGAATTTTCTTATATTTCTTCGGCTGCTTTGTTTAGTTAGTTTAAATCTATGACCTCTTTTTCTTGAAGTTCCAGGTCTCAGGAATTCTTCCCCTATCAATTTTATTGACTCCTGTTCCTAGTTTGTACTTAGTGATCATATCGCTTCTTTTTCTAACTTCTAGTTTTGGCAAATTTAATACTGTACCTCTTATCTCTCCTCGTAACTCTTGTCCTTCAGTTCTAGGAGCCATACAGTTGCATGTCCTTGCACCTTTTCCAGTTTGTTGATGTGCCTCTTTGAGATATGGGCACCATACAACCACTGCATATTCCAACTTTGGTCACATAGGTTGTAAACAATTTCTTAAATATTTTACCATCCATGAACTTAAAGCAATTCTGATATTGGAAAGAGTAGCATAGGCTCCTCACACAATGTTCTTTATTTGGTCCTCAGGTGATAGTTTTCTGACTAGAACCACCCTAGAAATCTTATCAGAATTTTGTTTAAAGATTTTTCACATAATTTGTAGGTTGTGTGGGGTCTATGTTCTCTTATTCCACGTTCCATAACATGGCATTTATTCACATTAAATTCCATTTGCTAAGTGGTACTCCATACACTTATTTTGTCCAGGTCTTCTTGAAAGTTAACACTTTCGCGCTTTAGATTAGAGATAACTCGTCGCTGTTTTTTCTTACGATTCCGCATAACAGCCTACTTTTCTCGTCCATCGAAAAAATATTTCTATAAATTCCATTTTTTAACCGAAATGGATGGGGATACTTTTGTTTTGTAGAGAATTTATTTGCGAATTTTTTGGTACCAGAATGAATATTATATCACATAAACTTCTATGAGTAAAAAAAAAAATACACAAAGTATGTTTGGGGGTGTGGCGAGCGTGTGGCAGTGGGTTCCCTTTAGCCGTTGATATATCCAACACGTGGGAAATATTTGTATGTGTTATGTATATGTCTGTGTAGGGAATTTTACTGCGATCACTGTCATACAAATTATAAAATGTTTCAACAAGTATAAACATGACAAACATCAAACGAACGAAAACAATGCGTTCGTTTCTGCCGCGAACGCATACTGAGCGACGTGGTTCTATATTTGGCGCTTCTCTTACACATGCTTTGTACAAATGTTATACAGTTCATCTTATAGAAAATTTTATTGCGAACACATTGGTATAAAAAAGAAATACGTACATAGAAAAGTAGGGTCAGGAAACGTATAAACTTTCCAAGCATGATTTCCCCCCTGTGTTTTCGCCAGTGCGCTCGCGGCTAACTACTCTCCACTTCACACACTCTTGCGGGTGGGCAATTACCTATATTAAACATTCATATGCATATGTCCGTGTAGAGAATTTTATTGCGATTCCAATGATACCAAAATTAGCGATGTAGGACAACTGTAGGCTTCGCAACCATTAAGAGAGTGGAAACATTTTGTTGCTGTTTGGCGCTCTCGGCGAGTGATCTGCATAGTTTTTTATTTGGTGTTGATACTCCTTATGCTTGGGCGGCATTTTATAGGTATGCTCTTATAGACAATTTCATTGCGAACACAGTGATACCAAATTTAAATACGTGCGCCTTCAATTATTGTCAGGACAGTCAAAAGAGTGTACACTTTTTCGGTCTTACCGCGTAGGCGCGCGAAGTGCCGAAAGCATCTGGGGTATTGTTTTTTTTTGAGCGCCGAGAGCGCGAAAGTGTTAAGGACTCATTTTTTCATTCTCATTTTCTCATTTAAGGTTCATTCGTCGACCAAGACGGTGACATTTATTTCTCAACTCACAATCAGGAATCCTGGGTTTGGTTCCTGGTTGAGAAAGAAATGGTTGGGCACATTTTCTTTCACAATGCCTCTGTTCAACTAACAGTAAACAGGTACCCGAGAGTTGGGCAACTGTTGTGGGGTTGTATCCTGGGTAAGGTCAGAATCCAACATTCTGTTTGTAACTTATCTTGTATACATGAACTTTTACCTGAATAAACATTTATTTATTATTACTACCGGGACCCTTAAATTAATTATTATTATTAATTGCTACTCACCTTGAAACTGAATAACCTCATCATAGAGGTCAAAGGTCATTAACGGCTCCTCCAGTTCACGTAAGAAAGTTTTGATGATAACTGCTGCTGTATGCACGTCTGTGTCTAAATCAAAGATCACTTCTTCACCTTTATTGAAACGTTCCTGTACACTTTTTACCACAGCTGCTGCGCTAGATCGACGAAACAGTCCTTCCGTCTCCAGAGCTGTCGTGAGAATAGCTCATGAGATATTAATATCCAATATTTTAAGTTACATTTTGTCATTTTTAAGACGGTGATAAGTGAATCAAATAGGAAAGATACTAAGGGAAAATATTACAAACAGCATTTCTTGTAAAACAAAAACAAAAGGCACTGTGTAAAATTTATTAAAAGGGGCATTATGTAAAATTTATTAAAAGGGGGCCATTGTGTAAAATTTATTTAAAGGGGGCCATTGTGTAAAATATTAATTTACAGCTGATTATCCCAACATCAAAATACTGTCTGATTTAAAAAATAACCAAAATATACACAGTACAGTACTAAATAATTATACATGATATGCATACTTGTATGTAATATGTTGTATCTTAACAGTAATGTCTGTTAAACATGCCATGATAGCAACAGAGGCATTGCAAAACCAATTGTACTGTAGGTAAGAAAACAGATCTTGAACCCTGTCTATGTAGGACAGAAAATGTATGTATACTGGTTAGCACTACAAAAGCACTCCAATCACTTTGTGGTCGAATGGTCATTAAATCATTATGTATTATAACAGCTCTCTAACCCTGTCTATGTAGAACACACAATTGTAGGGTACTGATGTGTAGGTGTGTGTTTGGATAATAGTGATGGTAATAGGATAAAAACCACACACTTGTGTATATGTGAAATTTATGTAAGGAATTTACACCAAGTCTTTTGAACTCTCCTGAGTGCTATATCAAGGTCTGAGCGTTTGATTAGGATGAGACTTACATCTCAACGTCTAATCAATGCCCCATCCTAATCACACACTGAGACCTTTATAAAGTTCTCAGTTGAGTGCAAAAGACTCTATAAATTCCTTACATAAATTTCACATACAGCATACACAAGTGTAGGTTTTATACTATGTTATTATGTTAGTGAGAAGACATTAACCTTACTAATGATGGTAATACTGACAATGCAACCTGTCCTCTAACCTAGTACATCATACTTCTTAAGGTAATGACTAATCTGTTAAAAATGCAATGTATTTGTAAAAATTAAAGCACTATAATATTTTCCATGCATCTGCCTCAATAGCATACAGTAGGTGTATTGCTTGGGTTGATATGTTTTTGATTAGGTAAAATAGTTGCCTTTGTTTTGCAGTAGCAAATTGTGAGCACGAGTTGGATCAAGCTCATCCTAATAATAATGATGATACCATGGTGTGTCTGGATATATGGATTATGATAGTAATGCTGATCATGACCATCTTGAGGTTATCTTGAGATGATTTTGGGGTTTTTAGTGTCCCCTCGGCCCGGTCCTCGACCAGGCCTCCACCCCCAGGAAGCAGCCCGTGACAGCTGACTAACACCCAGGTACCTATTTTACTGCTAGGTAACAGGGGCATAGAGTGAAAGAAACTCTGTCCATTGTTTCTCACCGGCGCCCGGGATCGAACCCAGGACCACAGGATCACAAGTCCAGCGTGCTGTCCGCTCGGTTGACTGGCTCCCTTCTAGCCTTGTAGCACCATTCTAGCAACAATGAGACCCGTCCTCCTGTTCAGATACTACTTTTTTGTAACTATGTGCACCATCGTAAATATAGTGACATAATGGACAATGAGATTTGGTACTATTCATTTTATAGTCTGGAAAACTGAAGCTAAAAACCAAATTTAAATATTCCTAGGCCTAGTATAACACGTGTACTGTATTAGGCCTGAAATAGTGTGTATTAGGCCTAGCAAAGTTAGGTTAGTTTTATTAGTAACATAAATACAAAATCTTTTCCGGTTTGTCCAAATTCAATACAGTACAGTAGTACCAAATTCTACTTTCTAATTGTCCATTATGTCAATATATGTATGATGGTCCCTATCATTACTATAAGTACTGCCTAAACAGGAAGATGGGCCTAAACAATGATAGTGCTGTAATGATAATCATAATCCTGCTAAACAATGATGATAACACCTTACCATCTGGGTGATCGAGAAAGGTGATGCAGTTTTTCAGCACAGGAGGAATTGGGTCCTGGTCACTCGCATCTTTGATGTATTGTAACGATACACCAAACTGCTGCGTGGGTAGAGGTTTGTTGGAACCCACTCCAGGAGTTTTGGGAAGGCTTTTCAGCTTGGCCAGAAGCTGTTGATCATGCCTAAAAAAAAAAAAGGCAGATTGTGACCAAAGCATTTCATTCCATCACTTTTTTGGGGGAAACAGGTGATGAAAGTGTTTTTTTTTTTTTTTTTTTTTAAAGATGACCCTAATTTACAAGGATAGTTTAAGGGAAATTTTTTGTTTGTTTAGTATGCTAAAGTGGTGTTATAGGGGAAAATGTATGATCTCATGTAAATAAATAAAGTATATTTATAATTGGTGGTAGCCCAAAAACATGTCATATCCCCCGGCAAATATGATACAATCAACTAGTTTCTCAGACAACCCGTCCTCTTACAAATTAGGTTGCTTTTTGCTCATATGCGCACTAAGGCTAAAAATCGCTGTACTGTACAGTACTAGAAAATGAAATCGGCTCACAAAAGTGACGTAATGTCCCATTTTCTGTTTTGGGTCTTCTGGCTTAGTCTGTTATGTTAGGGAAGGAAACTTTCAATTAATGGTTTTCATGATGTTTTGAAACCTTGGGAGAGCTTCCTGCCCACCTAATCTACCAGAGGAACCCCTTGCTGTTTTGGGGGGGGAAAAAAAATTATTTTCAATTATTTTCATTTTCAAATTACTGAACGACCTTTTTTGTCCGTAGCGCATACGAGTGAAAAGCGACGTAATTTGTAAGAGGCTGGGTTGTCTTGAAAGCTTGGTTATTTTAGAGTAAACATAAAAGATTTTTAGGGTTTATTATTTTACTGAGTCAAGATTGTTGTTTCTATGGAATATAAAGACCATTGACAGGCCTCTGGCATCCTGTTCTTGTCAAGGCCACTAGTGATAGTGGCCCTTAGGCAAATTCAGGTAAATTACTTGAGCACCTCATTGATTGATACAGTAGTTAAAAAAATGCTTTTAAATTTAATTTTGATACAAATAAAATATTATCCATTATATTTCAATTTGCTTGTGTGGAATACTTACTGCTGTACACGCTGCGGGATTGGTAACTGGCCGAGGTGGAGATGCTGCTGAAGTTCATGCAGGTAGTTCACATACATCACCTTCCGCCCAAACTTGGCACTGAGGAAAAGAAATTCATAGAATACAAAAGAAAATGCTAATACAGTAACATTCCACAGAGCAAATCATCTCTTTCTTCGCTCAAAAGATGTACACAGAAATAAATAAACCAGAAGAAACAGTTACAACAGAACTTGATTTATATATACAGTATGTAGTCACCTAGTTGTGCTTATGGGGGTTGAGCTCTGCTCTTTCGGCCCGCCTCTCAACTGTCAATCAACTGTTACTAACTACTATTCCCCCCCCCCCACACACACACCCAGGAAGCAGCCTGTAGCAGCTGTCTAGCTCCCAGGTACCTATTTACTGCTAGGTAACAAGGGCATCAGGGTATTGATGCCAAATGTATTGCCGGTACATCCGTGGACTTCCAAGGAACACTAGCCTGTTTTCGAATAGAGGTTCCGGCCCGTCCTGGCTGTGGTGGGTATGTGGGCCTGCGGGCCGCTCCGTGCAACAGCCTGGTGAACCAACCTCTCACAAGTCAGGCTTGGCCTCGGGCCGAGCTTGGAGTGAAAATGATCTCCCAGAACCCCATCCAGCAGGTATCGAGCAGGTATCTCCGCTGCCGGTCGCCTGGTGTGCAGGTTCCTGGACCTGCTGGGTTCTGTCGTGTCTGTTGGCCCTGTCTGGGGTCTGCCTGCACCGTTCTCTGCCTTTGCAGAGCCAAGTTGCTACTTAAATGTTGCACGTTGCTGCTGCACGTGTGCATTGGTAACGTGTTTCGCGGTGGCGTGTCCTTTGTTCCTGTGTCCGGTTGTGGTGTGGCACTTGCTGCTGTTTTGTGCCTAGGGTTTGCATATGGGGGTTTGCTTGTTGTTTTTCGTGGTCTTCGGGTCCCTGGCTTGGCCCTTCCATGTGCGTGGGGTTCTGTCCCTGCCTGATTGTCCACCCCTGGTTGTTTCCTGGGGTTTGAGCTTTGACTCTTTCGTCCTGCCTCTCCCTAGTCGCTTCCTTGGCACCTCCTTTGGTCGGTTTTGCCTGTACTTGCTGCTGTAGTGGGGGGTGTTGGTTTCTACCGCTTCCCTTCCTTGTGCGTTCCCTTTGTTTCCTCCTCTGCTGCAGGGATGTTTTTCGTGCGTTCCTTGGCTTCTTGGGCGTTCTTTCAGCCTATGTCCTATGGTGAGCTTATGTGTCTTGGTCTCTTTTTCGTTGCTCGAACCAAGTACCCCTTGGTTCGGGTACTGTTCTGGTGACAACCCTTCCGCCTTCTTCGGTCTTCCTGGCTTCCCCTGCCGGTTGGCTTTTCAGGGTCTTGCGATGTCTCGCGTCAGACATTGCGAAAACTCTGATCTGATCTCCTGGCGGGCTTGCTTGCATTGGGAAGCTTTCTGTTCGGCAGACGTTCCATCTCCTTTGTGCCGCCTGGGCTTTGGTGGTTGCGCCCGAGATCTTCCCGTGGCTCCGCCTTTTCCTGGGCTCGGAGGAGCCTTGTCGGGGCTGATTCCGTTCTGCCTCGCATGTCTCGCCTCCGGTTGGTGGTCTGGTGGCTTCGTTGTAGGTGTCCCACCTGCGTACTTCTTGGTAGCAGTATTGGGTATTTAGGCGGTCATTCCTTTTCCTCCTATCCCTTCTTAGGTGGCTGCAGTTGTTAGCGTCGGCTTTTTCTGGTGGGGGTTGGAGGCCATCGTCTTGCCACGTACTGTCGCCTTGTTTTGTGCGGCGCTGGCGGAGCCGCTTCGGCTTGCTTTCGGTCTTGGTGTTGCTTCTGCACCGTTAGTAAGCTGTCTCATGCGTTGTTTCACCTCCGGCCTGTTCGTGCGCCGCTTGCACCGTCTTGGTCTCTGGTCAGCGTGCTCGGTCTTCTCCTCGGTCGGTGGTGCCCCTTCGGTTCCGGTTTGTTTTTCGTCGGCTTTTTTTCCTGTTGGCATTTGCCTTTGGGGGTCAGGTCACTGGGCTTCTTGCTCCTCGGCAGGGGTTTTATGCTCCTTCGGTTTTGGCGTTTTTGGTTGTTCGGTGGCAGCAGTCTCCATCTTTTCTGGCACGGGATGGGCTGCTGCGTTCTGGAGGGGTCCTTGGGTTGTTGGTGCTTGGTTGGTCGGGCCGGGAGTGTGTCATGTTTTGTGTTCAGTGGCGGCCCTCCGCTGTTAATTGCGTGCCGTGGCCTCTATGTCCGGGGTGCGCTTTTGAGTTGATCCGGTTCCGTTCTTCCATGTTCGCAGGTGTTATTGCGGCTAACCTGCCTGTGTTCATTCCCCATGCCCGTGGCTTCGCTGCTCTTGCTGCCATCTGGGTGGCGTGTCCTTGCTGTCATTCGGGCACGGATCTTTTGGTGTTCGTACTGGGGCCCTGCTGTTCGTTGTGTCGTGTTGTTCCCGGGCCCTTTCGGGGCTGTGTCACCTTGGGTTGGCGTTTGCTGCCGGTTGTCTCGCTTCCATTGAGGGGTGCGTGGTGTCCGCCTCCCGGTTCCGTCCCTTTAACCTTCCTCTGTGGGTAGTTAGCTCCGGGAAGCCGATGGGGCTCCCCCAGAAAACCAGCATCGAATGTAATGAAACGCCATTTTCTGGGTGACACCCGGAAGCTTCCCCGCAACCCTCCCTCCCTCCGGTCGGCGGTTTTTCGCGTGTTTTAACATCCAGCCTCAGAACTGATGGGTGGATAGCTGGCGTGAGAGGTCTGGGGATCCCCCTTCCCCCTCCCGGGGAGGGGGGAGCTGTACAGACAGCGGCGCGGTGACATGTGACGTCATACTAGTTTGCTTGTTTTCTGTTGGGGAGTTATATCCACTAGTTCGGCTTTTGGTAGCAATTTTAACCAGAATAGGGGTTTGTTTTGGAATGCTTACCTTTCTGGATGCTTGACCTGGTCGATGGGTCGATGGCAGACATAGAATGCTTCCAACCACACGGGGTTTTCTATAGGCCATTGCTCCCCTTGCCTCTCTGAGGGGGCCAGATTCTGGCTCGTGGTCCCCGGTAGGCCCTAGAACTCCATACACATGACTGATGCCAAAGTCTGACATTAGCATATCAGCCTGGTAAAGCTCCGGGGAGCCTCCGGGTCTCACCCAGAAAATGGCGTTTCATTACATTCAACGCTAGTTTTTTAGACAAATTCTTAGTAAGACAAGCAAGCAGTGAGCCACAAGCAGGTCCTAGTGGTATGCAGGCAAAACATGCCAGAGAGTATATCCCAGAAAAGTCATCACTGCCTAATGTTATAATGGAAGGGGACTCCCCTTCCAAACAGTAACACCTCCCCTCCTCACCATCTTCCATATGCTATCAAGAGTCCTCCATAAAAGTAAGATAAACATATGTACTGTACTGAAGTTAGAGAACAAAATTGTATTCAGTACAAAATGTATATGTAAGCTAATATTTTGGAGGGTAGTGAACGGATTAATTCAATTCCCTTTATTTCTTATGGGAAAAATTGCTTCGACTTACGATATTTCGACTTATGATCCATCTCTGGGAATGGATTACTATCGTAAGTCGAGGCCCCACTGTACACTAATTTTATTTTTTTATTTTAAAAACTATATTATTATGAAGCAGCACATTTCAATAGCTACACAGTTTAGAGATTAATATGAAGATATAAAAGTACAGTGCTATACAGTATCAAGATGCATAACTAAAAATAGTTAATGAATCAATTGAAAAAATGCATATGGCAACTGGAGCAGTTAAGGGTTAAAAGTTACCTTATGGCAGGCTTGAAAATGTTGTACACAACTCGGATAAAGTTTGTGGGATGGACCAAATAAAGAGCCTTGAGATTTTTCTTGTACTTGCGATCTAGAGCTTTGTAAGCAGACCACAACCATGAAACTGGTGGTTTGTTCTTGCTGTTGAGACCATAATGGAAATATACCAGAGAGTAATCCTGCTCCACATACTGGTCTAGGGTAAACATCAGGTACCTAAAAATTTAAAATAGAAATGAAAAGATTTAACTTGCAGATGGTAATATTTTAATCAGCATTACATAATGCATGTTTTACAATTTGAAGACGGCTTTAGTCTACAATCACAACTTTCATAAACTGCAGTACATATTCTGTACATCAGAATTTCATTAAAATATTAAACAAAATAAATACATAATGACTTGAATTATTGTATGTATTACATACAATACATGCATACATGTGTCATAAAATACATACATGTATTGTATGACAATACATAATGCATTTTATGTAGACTTGTATTGTATGATTTGTTTATACTGTATATGACTTATAGAATGACTTGAATGAGAAAGAGCAGTGGTGCAAGGACTGTGCCCTGGGGATGCCTTGCGGCAACCCCAGGTTCCAGGGTTCAAGGTCCCCGTGGTCCGATCTCTGACCAGGCCTTTTCCAGAGCTTTTCACTGTGCTCGGACTATGAATCTAACTGACTGTTACCCTTTGCATTCCGTTTGACAATTTTTTTTAAATCCACCAGCCTACTTTACCCATTATTCCTATTCATCTCATTTTATGGGCCATCACTCCATAGTCACACTTATCAAATGCCTTTGCAAAGACTGTGTATACAACATTTGCATTTTTTCTTGTAATACTTCTATGATTTTGTCTAGTGGTTGAGTAAATATCCCTGATTATGTCTTCATTGTTTGTGAAGAACAGGTCAAAAGTATTTTCGTTCTTAGTTGGCTCTGTTATCTGCTGGTTGATCAAAAATTTGTCACAATCTCAATGGTTGTCTGACCTGTGGTTGGTTATTTCCACATTGATTTCCTGCTATAATGTTATTGTTAGCCATTCTCCATCTTAAACTGAGTAGAGTGACGTCTCCAAGAAAGAAAATATCTGGTACTGGGTTTGCTAGGCTGTCCAGGTCATTCTCTATTTTGTGTATCTGTTCTATGAATTCCTCAACTGTTACATTTGGCAGATCGTATATTAGGATACAGTAATAATTATTTTTTATTTTTTTTTACTTTGATTCCAAGTATCTCTATCACCTCATTTGTAGAGTTTAAGAGCTCTGTGCATACCAATTCCATTATAATATATTAGTCTAGTTCTTTATTTGACATATTTACTCTATGACATATATATATATAAATTATAATTTGGAATCCAGATTTCACTGTTCATTTAATTGTTCGTATGTGTTTCTGTGAATCCTCAAAAACATTGAATTCGACTACTAGGCCATTTATGAAACTATTTCTCAATTTTGACTTTAGACCTTGTATGTTTGTAAATAAAAGGCTTTTTCCATAGTGTGTGTTACTTTTGGTAGGTTTTGAGAGTTCTCTTTCTTCTCTCTCATGATCCATTGGTGTGTTATATTATTGGCAATGATTCATCCAATTTTGGTAGTACACTAGCACAGGTGTTGTGTGATGTGATAGTTTTTGTGAACTTGAGGGTGTAGTATATGCCTGCTTGATGATGACTTTTGGTCCAGTCTTGCACCTTTCTCCCTTCCCATCCACACTCTTGCAATGTTTCTGTCTGCCTCTAAAAAACTATCAGAATTATCATATTGGTCCTTCTCTCAACTATAACACTTTAGTCCTCCCGTGTGGAAATCTAGGCATTGTAGATCACAGGCATTTTATTTCCTCTTTTGCCTGAAAGGCTATGCGTATTAGTGGCTTAGGTATTGTATGTACTAGTTCTATCTTTAAATCCAACATTATGTTTGTAACTCATCCTCAATGTATGTGCCTTTACCTGAATAAAAAATCAAATCTAAATCTTAATTTAAATGAGTTTGCATAATTTAGGGTGGAAGTATCTGCATTGTTCCAAAATGGCATGTACCCTTTCCCAACATGTTCCTGCATTTTCTGGGATGTATGAATCTGCATTTTGTGCCCTTTGGGCTCATACAGTACTTGCAAATTCCCTTTGCATAATATTTGAATATTCCCTTTCCATAATATTTGCAAATATTTTCATTTGTGGTATTTCCCCAGGTGGATGGATACAAAATAGGATGGACTGACAGAGAATGGGATGCATAGACAATGGGATGGATAGACAAAGATTCTAGATGGGTCAAACGTTGGGATGATAGGAATGGTTGAGCTTGGGCTCGAAGACCAAGCATTGACAAGAATACTAATATAATAACTCTCAAAGTAAGTTGTTTATAGCACTAAATGACTTTCTTTTTCTTTAAATAGGTTTCTTGAGGTTATCTTGAGATGATTTCGGGGCTTAGCATCCCTGTGGCCCAGTCCTCGACCAGGCCTCCTCTTTGTTACACACACACCCCAGGAAGCAGCCGTAACAGCTGTCTAACTCCCAGGTACCTATTTACTGCTAGGTAACAGGGGTATCAGGGTTAAAGAAACATTTTGCCCATTTGTCTCCGCCTCCACCGGGGATCGATCCCAAAACCTCAGGGCTACGAATCCGAAGCACCGTCTACCCAGCTGTCAGGCGCCCTAGCAAGCATCAGGCGTCAGGCAAGTACAGAAACAGGCTACTTCTGACTCCTGTTAGCTGGCTGAGAGCTTTCCCTTCCCATAGCTCATGGTAAGCCTTACCCTATTAGTTTTCCCTGAAGCACAACCCACCAACTGGTTAACAACCAGGTACCTAATCACTGCTGGGTGGAAAGAGGCAAACTGTTGTGGATTATATCCTGGGAAAATAGGTGGCCTTGCCCAACAGCAGGAAACCAAGAGCATTACTCTTCATGCTTGAAGCAAATCTCTTAACATGCTTTATTCATGTTCCGTAAATACAATTGACAAGGCTTCATAATTTGATTCGGGATAGGACCAGTGCTATGGGGAAGGTGTCTGCTTTTGGGCCATATTTCAAGTGTTGAATGGATTTTATTCATAACAATAGTTACGTTTAAAGCTTCTGATGTCTGCCATGACATGATCTAAATATTTAATAGCAGAAAATTGGTTCCAAAGATGACTATGGGCTCTGCGATAACCACAGAGATTGCAAGGGACTCGCAAAGGATATATTTTGAGCTTCTGGGCACTAGGAACATGGGATTGTTGACCATAGCAATAAAAGTATACACCGAATAAAATCATATTTGTTGCAAGTCCTAGCCATAAAAATAAAATGATGGCTATGTAGTGGGCAACCCTACTAGCACCCAATAAAACAAACTTACTTAAGGAATTTTTCATGATTGAAAACCTTGTTACTGGGCAGTTTACAGGCAGAGACCACAATGACCTTTCTGCCACAGGTGTCGTCGCCAACAATATCAACAATACCATGACGGGCAATGTCTGTGAAGTCATTGTCATCAGTGAAGGTGTGGTGGAGTGCCTGCTCGTCCTCTTCTCCGAGGGCACTCCCAAGCTCGGCTTCGAAGTTCTCCTCAATAGTGCCGTCTGATACTGGTGACTCCAGATAGTCAGGGGCTGCAGGTAGAAGTTCCTGCAGGTCTGAAATTAATAAGTTTTTTTAGCACACAACTTTAAGGAAAAAGAGTATTGATTTTAATACACAATTGTAATAGATAAGAGAATTGTTTTAAGCACGTAACTTATTTTATAAATAATATTGGTCAATACTGTATTCGGTTGAAAATAATGTGAAAATGTTCATCAAACTTGATGGAATCCCATAAATATTACAAATATACTCCTCCAAAACATATTAGACGATCATCATCACCAGAGCAACGCTTTCCACACATCTTTAGATTTGAAAGCCATTTTATTGTCAGGTACGATCCAAGCCCTAAATGTCCTCATGGGGTTTCTTACCTGGGATCCAACTCCTAACTTTATCATGGGGGTCAATGAAGCCTGCCTGCCTGCCTGCCTGCCTGCCTGCCTAGCAGGACCGAGCGAGCGAGCGAGCGAGCACTCACTTTCTCACTCTCATTATGTAAAAAATGCAATTGTTTTGCCTGAGCAGAAATGTAAAAAATACAATAGTTTTGTGTTACATGTAAAAAAAAAAAAAAATTGCCTAACCAGAAATATGACAAATGCAACTGTTTTGCCTAAACAGTAAAAAAAATACACCTGCTTTGCCTAGCCAAAAATTTAAAAATACAGTACAACTGATTTGTCTAACCAGAAACGTAAAAAAAAAAACTGCTTTGATTAACTAAAAATACTGAACAAGCTCGCTTATCTAAAGCCCACTGATCAGAATATTTGGGTTATTCAACAAAAACTGCAGCTGGATATTCTTCTGGCAAAACTTCGCCATATCTAGATAGACACTCAGATAACCAGAGGTTTGGCCAGATAGTACAGACTGGAATAGGTTATAAATCAAGTCCGGATAACTTTCTGCCAAATTTCATATCCAGACAGAAATCTGGAAAAGCGTTGATTTTTCCAGATACTGTACTGCAGACAGGCATTGGGCCATACCGTATTAATTCCATACAGCAGCGGCTTGAGGTGTGGGGTATGGGAGGCGTTGGGGTGGGTGGTTTCAGGGTAGGAGGAGTCAGGAGGGACTGACTGTGGAGGATGAGGGGCATGTGGAGGCGCTTTTGATATGTATTGTATAGAACAACTAAGAATTATTAAAACAATTCATTACGATAAATACTAAATAAATATTACACCTACATGTGGAAATTATTTGCATTTATTATAATAAATACAAATTTCTTAAAAACTATGCGTACAGGATGAAGACTGTAGTGTCCTGCTAAAATTTGGGGATTTGTTTTTCTGCCTGGCAGTCTACATAACACGCCTGCCTGCCCCAAGTGGATCAGTGCAGGCATGGTCAAGTTAGACGGCCCATGTGCCCCTGACCCTCGTGTGCCGCCCATGTGCTCCTGACCCTCGTGTGCCGCCCATGAGCCCCTGACCCTCGTGTGCTGCCCATGTGCCCCTGACCCTCGTGTGCCATGCCATTAGTGAAACATTTTCTTAAATAACTTGTTTATTTTCATAGTAACTTTGATCATGTGCAGGCGATGAGTCACAATAACGTGGCTAAAGTATGTTGACCAGACCACACACTAGAAGGTGAAGGGATGACGACGTTTCGGTCCGTCCTGGACCATGCTCAAGTGGATTGTTTTTGGCCAGACTATGTGTGGTTATCTTGTTATCTTGAGGTTATCTTGAGATGCTTTCGGGGCTTTGCAGTGTCCCCGCGGCCCGGTCCTCGACCAGGCCTCCACCCCCAGGAAGCAGCCCGTGACAGCTGACTAACACCCTGGTACCTATTTTACTGCTAGGTAACAGGGGCATAGGGTGAAAGAAACTCTGCCCATTGTTTCTCGCCGGCGCCTGGGATCGAACCCAGGACCACAGGATCACAAGTCCAGCGTGCTGTCCGCTCGGCTGACCGGCTCTGCTGTGGTAGTAGCAGCAATCATCCTGAAGGTGTCAAGAGGAAGACTGTGCTAACACCACAGACTACCAAATGCAGTTTACTCATACTTTCAGTTTACATGTTAATTTTTCATCCTACTGTGCTAATTTAAAAGTTGGAAACATATATCAGTACTGTACTTGAAGCAAACCAAAGAGCTACTCATAAGAGGACAACGAACACAGTAGGCAAGCAAAACTCGATTCATACTTGGTAAAAACAGCAAGTAAAGAACCTTCAACCAGTGAAGCATCAGCAGCTGGCAGTAAAACTGACCTTGTCAACTTCATGTATTGTACAATAATTTTAGTGTTATGTTAAGTTAGGTTACATCAATTTTCAAGAATTATTGATCTGAAGATACTGTACAGTACTGTATGCAACGTAAATCAACTGTCCAACCGATGGGACCGTCTCACAGCTCTCAAAATGTACTATTGCCAGAACAAGGGTGGATGTGTTGAAGTAGCATTTAGATAAGTTCTTACACAAAAATGCTGGGTCAACTAGGTTGTAGTGAATATGTGGGCCTGCGGGCCGTTCCAAGCAACAGCCTGTTGGACCAATTTATCACAAGTTGAGCCTTGCCCCAAGCTGGGCTCAGGGAGTAGAAGGAAGGAATAATAATTCATGTCTCTCTTGGAACCCCGCTCCGTTTGTCCAGGTTTGTGTACATGTGGAAATTAAAATTGTTGTTTGTGTACAAAAATTTTTTAACGTGTTCACTTTTGGCTTTTCCCAGTAGCGAGCGCTTTGTCATGGGTTCGTATCCTGGCCGGGGAGGATTTACTGGGCGCAAATCCTTAACTGTAGCCTTTGTTTAACTCAACAGTAAAATGGGTACTTGGTTGTAACAACAATTCTTTGCGGCGGGGATCGTATTCCAGGGACCTGCCCGAAACGCTACGCGTACTAGTGGCTGTACAAGAATGTAACAACTCTTGTATATATCTCAAAAAAAAAAAAAAGTAAGAATTCTGCTTATTTGAATTTCTGGTTTATCCAGCGGGCTGGGTTCCTTCCCACATAGTTCGTATAAGTGAGGTTTGTCAGTACAGTTCATGAAACAGAGCAACCTACCTAACCTATTGAGGCTGATGAGGCTAAAAGGTCGATATTACAGTGCGGAGAGGTATCGCTTATCAATACCTTACACCTCTGATGTATTAGTCGATCCTGCAAAATACAAGATGTACTGTATTAGGCGAGAGAACAGATTGTAATGTGAAAGTTCCAGTTGATGCTGCCTCCTGAGATCTTGGCACAATAAAACATGGAATGTTGAGACGGGATGGGTCGAATTTAACCTTTTCCTTCTCTACTTCCACCTCCAAGTCGAACCTTCTTTATCCGTCATCTTCCTCCAGATCAAATTGTTCTTTGTTCTTCACCTTCGTCATCCTCGTCTTTGTAGGTCAGCACTAACCCCCGATGGTCCATGTGGTTGTGAACCCTCGCCTCCCTTTGCCCTATTCTTGCTCTTTGTCCTCATATTCCCTTCTAAGTTTTTAAAAGTCATGTTGGACTAGCGCTTTCTCATAATTACACTAGCCCCTCCCCCCTGACCCACCGGGACGCCCAGTAACGACCCAGTTCACCCTACCACTCCAACGTCAAGGAGTCGTGAATTTTACCTGTCAACTCCAAAGGCCAAAGATCTCCAGCAGTCAGGAGCGGATAACCAATCTTGCAAATACACATAAATTTCATTGTTTTTTCAAGCCCAAAATATGTGTTTAATATCATCCCCCCCCCCTCCCTCAGCTGTCAGACAACACCAAGATTTTGAGTGGCAGAATAGTTATATTTTAACATGTGCAGTTTATACCACAACATAATAGGTAAAACAAAGCCAGTAGGCGGGGCACAAGAGCTAGACCTCACTCGCCCATAGTCACTGTTTGGTAAGTACAAGTAAAATAAGATCGGTAGGCAGTGCATAAAGACCTAAACCTCAGATAACAGAACCTGCAGTAGCAACAGCAGCAACAACAGAGCCTGTAGTAGCAGAAACAAGAGAGCCTGCAGTAGCAGCAGCACCAACAGAATCTGCAATAACAGCACCAACAGAGCCTGCAGCAGCAACAGAGCCTGCAGTAGCAGCAGCAACAGAGCCTGCAGTAGCAACAGAGCCTGCAGTAGCAGCAGCAACAGAGCCTGCAGTAGCAACAGAGCCTGCAGTAGCAGCAGCAACAGAGCCTGCAGTAGCAACAGAGCCTGCAGCAGCAACAGAGCCTGCAGTAGCAGCAGCAACAGAGCCTGCAGTAGCAGCAGCAACAGAGCCTGCAGTAGCAGCAGCAACAGAGCCTGCAGCAGCAACAGAGCCTGCAGTAGCAGCAGCAACAGAGCCTGCAGCAGCAACAGAGTTTGCAATAGCAGCAGCAACAGAGCCTGCAGTAGCAACAGAGCCTGCAGTAGCAGCAGCAACAGAGCCTGCAGTAGCAGCAGCAACAGAGCCTGCAGCAGCAACAGAGTTTGCAATAGCAGCAGCAACAGAGCCTGCAGTAGCAACAGAGCCTGCAGCAGCAACAGAGCCTGCAGTAGCAACAGAGCCTGCAGCAGCAACAGAGCCTGCAGTAGCAACAGAGCCTGCAGCAGCAACAGAGCCTGCAGTAGCAGCAGCAACAGAGCCTGCAGTAGCAGCAGCAACAGAGCCTGCAGTAGCAGCAGCAACAGAGCCTGAAAAGGGACTCTAACATATGCTTCCTTAAGTTTGAGGAAGCAGCAGCCATCCGAGGCAGAGCTAACATTCCCTTACCATAAACTACTGTATTCATGGCGACTAAAACTGTACCTCCACTGCCATCAACTCCCTGAATTTGTCAAGTGTAGAAAAAACTCCCAATACTCCCTACTAATCACAAGCAACCCTCATGCTCAGCTTGCTGCTAAATTAAACACCATAGAACACATTCACAATATACAAGCTGAAAACAACATTGCACAGACCATATACACTGACGAATCACTCAACACAGCTACAGGAAGGGCAGGAAGTGCTGTTATTGCTCATCAGCCCGATGGCAGCACAATTCAAAGGAATATAAGAATTAGTAACTGGGCATCTACAATGCAAGCTGAGTTGGTAGCA